CCTATTTATATCATCGAAACAATGAAGAAATCTTGCTCTATCGTTATTTTTTTTGTTAATCTTGTATAGTTCTCGTTCTATATTGTCTTCACTGTGATTTTGCATCCTTTTTTTGTCTATTAAACTCTTCAATGCTGCTTTAGAATGTTACATGGCGTTTCGACGAAACGGCAGGCTCTTTGAACGTGTCTTAAAACCGCGCGATCGTTGTTGATCGTGCGATTAGTAATTAGAGAGAAAGAGAAAGAGAGAAAGTTTGAAAGATTGTGTGAGAGAAAGAGGGTAGAATTGGTTTCGAGACTCGAGGGAGATAATGCATGAATCAAAACGAATGCGAGAGACGAACGAATGAGAGTAACAAACCCGGACTACCTTGTAGGTAAATCGATATAACTATTGATTAAGGGATAAGTTGTGTACAAATGTATTATAAATTAACGATTATCCTCAGAGTACCTTAATACGCAGGAAGACGAGAGAGATTATGAACAAAAAAATGAAGATAGAAATGAAACTAAATGAGAACAAAACTCACCTCAATATTATGTAGACTTTTCTCCCTCCCCACTGATGGGTACCAATGTTAAGGGTCGTGGTTCCCGTGTCGCGAGGCATGGGGAACACGCGTAGGATCAATAATTAAGGTATCGATTAATTACCTAATTAATTAGTTAAAGCGTATAAAACTCGACGTAAGGCGTATTAAAAATAGGCGGGAAAAAATCGATGAGATGTTTTTAAAAGGAAAAAAAAAACCAAACAAATGCCAACCATTGTGTTCTCGTGAGAATCATAATTATTCCGTAACTCTTAAGTGACGTGTCAAAAGTCGTATCTAAGTCGTTGATTAGTCGTTGTAATTTCGATTATTTCGTTAGGGAGAGCATGGGGGTATATACACCGAGAGAGAGATTGAGAGAACGAGATGGAAAGACAGGGAGTGTGAAAGCGTTTGATAATGCCGGTTGATTCGATGAAACGGAATGATAAGAAAGGGTCAGGTCGCGAGATTACGAATGAGAGATAAACGTGAAAATGGTGTGCGATCGTGTAAGCATCGGCACTGAATGATCCAAAGGGTGTGATTGCTGGAAAGTTCTATTGCGTGTGAAAGATGTTCGCGTGACGAGGAGGAGATGGGGTCGTGTAGAAATGATGAATTTTCGACGTGAAACGACAGGGACAAGACGGTGACGTTGACACAAGAGGGGAGAAAAACACTGTAGTAATTTACAAGGGGAAACATAGTTTGTACGAGATGTAACAAATAGACGCGTTGCACCGCGTCGCACCAGGTTTAAGGTTTGCCAAATCTTTAAATAAGTAAAAAGACACACGCGAGACAATGTAAAACTTTATTAAGCCGCATTACGTGTATAGGTGCATATAGGGAGTACTTGCAAATAAAAGAAAAAAAGAATCATAGCTAAAAACCGTTAGTGCTTAACGATGATAAAAAACGATGTGATGAACAAAGCGGCCGTCGCAATATTTCCAAATCGACACTCACACCATCCCGAAACCACCGCCTCTCGAGTTTTCGTTGCGAGTCGCTGGGTGAATTCTTGAATCGATCGTTAAAATTCGACACTCGATCGCAAAGTTTAGTCTCTTCACCGATGATCGTTTTATTTTTATTGCCAACGGCACATCGTTGCCCGTCAATTATTCCTCGCGAATTGGATCGCGCGTAAGCTTCTTAACGTTCTTCGACGATTAAAAAAAAAAAAATGGCGACACACGGTGAGCGAGGGAAGGGAGAAAGGGACAGAAGCTCGAGGTGTAGTTTAACTAGCGAACTAACGATCGTTATCTAATTTTAGCGACATTAGTTTATCCGATGAGAGTGGGGGAGTGATTGGCAAAAGAAAGGGAATTATCGATCGAGAGAAAGATAAATCGTGACGGAGCGCGTGGGTTGTCGGTTCGCTTGTGGGATCTCAAGTGATCGGCACGAGAAAGAGGGAAAGCCTTTGTAGATGCAAATTACTATACGGAATTGTTGAAGGAACAGTCACCGATTATCTAACGTTTCGGGAGGGAGTAATGATTTTTGAGGCGAAAATGAACAAGACGAAAGGCTAGAGATTTACTGGGAAACGTTTTATCAGGGGGAAAGATAGGTCTCGCTGTTTGTTACGCGAAATTGAGATGGAATCAAGGGGTAGGATTGTGGGAGAAGACAAATAGGGTTGAAGGAATGACGAATACGAAAGCAGAGGGTGGGTAATGAGAGGGATCGCAGAATTAGGGTTCACGTTTGCGAACAGACGTTTTGGTTTATAGGTGAGGGAAAACCTAAGCTCCCCAACTGTAGACGTTAGAAATTTGTTCACGATTCTGGGGGTAGAATAAGAAATCGGTGAAACGAGGGATAGATGTTGGTTAGATAACGATAAATGGAGATATTAAAAGAAAAAGTCGGAACGATGAAATTAGGGGGATGGTTTTTAATCGACTATTGCCCATTTCAATTTTGTTTTCTGCTCAGTAAACCTATTTACCGTACAAGAACCTTGTCTCCTACCCGCTCCCCTCACTCCCAACGACACGTAAAAAAAAACAAAACAGTACTACTATTATTGATACTGTACTATTACTACTATTGCTACTACTATTATAATATTACTACTACTACTATTAATTAATATTAATTAATTACTATTAATTATTGTCATTATTATTATTGCTATTATTATTATTCATCAAGTACACACATACACACACACACACATATATAAATATATATAATTTTTCTTTTTTCTTCATATTTTTCATATTCTTATTAGAAACTGTAAGTGGTTAGCGTAAGTTCCATAGAATATCTAAGTGATCATGGTAAGTAAGCATAGCATGGCCAGACAAGAGCTATGAAAAATGATAGTCTTATGTGCAAGATAAATAATATAATACGCACGATCAGGCACTGATAGTTCATTTTTATTTGACGGTCAAAACTTAAGTTATTATCTATTGAAAATTAAGTTAATTGGCATGGTTACATTCATATTATCATCATGGAGAATCAATTAATAAGATACACCTGCCGGGAAGGTCTATTCTGTCAATCTATTCTTCATTTTGTTGATCTGGTTACTCAATGTTCGAATATCCAATTATCTTTCTGTCTTTATAGACTACGATCCTATGTACTTGTGAGAAAATTTGACAAGTTCTTTGTTTTCTATATATTTAAACATTTCATTTCCTATTTCTTCGGTACATTCAAATCTTAAATCACTCATGAATCAACAAGTGATCACTTTTCCAATTACGTTCATATAATATTAACAATTTTGAAACGTGGCCATTTACGTTAGAATAAGTTCATCTACATGATATTTCCTTCTTCCGCTCCATTCTTTCGCTTCTATCCACGCCACCCTTAATGGTTCAACTCCTTCACCTAATTTCCCTTCTTTACCTCCCACAGACACCATCCCGATCCCAAAGTTTAAAAATCCTGAAACCGGCAGTCCGACGTTCATCCCTAACGGAGACGCAGCCCCTGGTCCCCAACGATTCTCCCTGACCCAGCACACCAATTACCACCCTTACAGGCGCTAAAGAACCACCGAACTGACTACCAAAAGACACAGGCCAAGACCTAGCCTTCCTATAAATCACGAGAATGATAGAGAAGATAGAGAGACGTTGGCGATGCCTAATACCCGGCTCTACGCCGGAGGATGATAAAACATACGAAGAACAAGGTGTTCGAAAGCAAAAGATCCATTCGAAACTGGCCATCCTTTTGCTTCTCTGTGTCCCACCTGCATGCGTTCGATTCCGATCGACGTATTGTTAACGATGAACATTGATTTTCTAGAGGCCACATATGATTCTCGTTCAGCCGAACTATGATTAGTATTATAGCCCGTAAGATGATTATCGATTAAGGCTTGGTAAATAAGTTTACGTGCAAGTGACGACGTGTAAGGCAAAGCGACCTTTTAAAGATTAATTAAGATTAATTAAGGCCGCCCCAATTTAGCTGTACGGAACGATCACATTAGTCTATATAACATTAAATTTTACTATTCGATACTTTTTTTTAAAACGTTAACTTCGTAGCTCTTAAGCTATTATTCCTGCATATTTTATTTATTTATTTATTTATTTTTTTTTAAATCTGTCTAATCGCGTAGTCTTATGGTAACGGAATCATGGTATCGAGCGTCTATAGAATTATTTAAGGAACAAGCGAGTCGTGAAATTACCGAGTAAACGTTTGCAATATCGGTTCTTCTAATATAGTACTTTTTAGTTCTTCCTCGGAGGGTCTAGTTTGCGTTCGGAGAATCGCGAATAACTCGTTCGTCTGTGACATTAGAATTTTGGGATTATAATTCGTCGTCTCGGATCGAATCCTTATTAAAACACCCATCGAAATTCGTGTTCGCGAAGCAGCTGGGGGAGACCATATCCGGCGCCTCTCGTTCGCAAAACTTTCTCGTTTAGCCTCGAAGTTGGCCGACCCTCGCGATATAGCAGTAAAGGTACTTTTATAGTAATTATTAAGCTCGTGATTGTAAGTTTTGTATTGAAAATTGTAAGAGAGGTAGCGTGATAGAATGAACGATAGATTGAGAGAAAGAGAGAGAGTGAGAGATAGAATGAGAGAGAGAAATATTGACATAGCTTAAATCTTGTTTTTTTTTTACTTATACATATTTAAGTCGTCGCGGTCCTCTTTTTTGATGAACGCTACAATTAAGTACGTAAATATAAATAAGCTATTTTTTCCGACTTGCACGTTACGAGACATTTTACGATATATACTTATCTCCTGTTGCACGGTTTTTTCTATTCGCAGACAACAGTAGGCTTAGTTTAATTCGAGTACATCGGCGATCTTGATACATCGCTTTTTTTTTTCTTTCTTCAAATCTTATATATACATGTAGCCTCAGAACTCTTAAGTTGGATCTCACTTGCGTATCGCTTTCCTCGAATCGGATCGTAACTAATCTCGGGTCCGGTCAAATCCTCCATAATCCTTCCAAGATCTTCTGAAAGTATCCTGCAATCGCCACTGTTCTCTTTCAATCCTCTGCAAACAAACCGACCGGTTACGAAATTCCAGACGAGTCAGTGATCGAAGAGGTTGGCTCTACGGTTCGTTCCGTGCGCGGATTCACGATCAGTTTAAATGTGGATAAAGTTGTAGATGATACAGATACTAGATAGTACTTAATACTTAGTAGATAATACTTTAACACATTCGTGACGCGTCGTAATCATTCTTCCGACCCAATGGCCAGAATTTATTTCTTTTTTATGTCTTTAGTATCAATATATCATAATTATTCCAAAAGACATTCAATAATAGAAAATGTTTTTTTTTCGCCACATTTTTTAATGGGAACTATAGCTCCCATCCGGCGAGGAATTTGTGTCATTCCGTACCGAATGTGTTAAATATGTCTAATAATTATAATAGATTATAATCTAGATATTATGTCTTCAAGAATTGAAGATCTAAATACTCTTCGATCGTCGCGTTGTTCGAGCACCGCGCCTTGTGTACAATCTCGCTGGTCCGCGATTACACGCGTCGCTGCTCTCTTAATGTGTCACTCCTCTCCCTGATCGCGTCCATGGGCCGCGTCCTGGCACACAGTACTACGTTCTTTTATGCGATTCTAACAGGCACCGTATACGGATCCTCGAGACTAGAGAGCGTTCCTGCTGCCCCAGGAACCAACAACAACTACAACAGCGGCGGGCCCCAAAGGGGTTACGCGGGACCCTCATCCAGCTCCAACAATTACCACCCCTATCGTCGCTAGAAAATGGATTAAGACAAAAATCGAGTTCCCGGCATTAGAGAGAAAGAAAGAGAGAGAGAGAGAGAGCGAGAGCGAGGTTTCGCCAGTTTCTTCTTCTTACCCTGTTCTCCGTCATCGTTACACGCTTTAGAAGGAACTGTTTTTGTTTTGTTTTTTTTTCGGCATATTTATCCGCGGATCTATATGCAACAACGTCGTCTGTCCATAAACGCGTGACACACGACTTTTTATACAGAACACACATCCGAGAATTTTTAATTTGCGTGCGAAACCATAATATATAAATACCCCCTGGTGTTCAAGCAACAGCGACCAGATCGCGGTACCGTGTATTATCTTTACATCTTTTTAGGATTCGTTAAAAAGCTCGCGAACTATTGAAGACATTCGGGGGAAACGAGCGTTCGTGGACGATGTGGAGATTCGTCTGGGAAGATGTGACGAATGGAAAATGGCTCGACTTCGAGGAAGATTCTCTCTCGTCTTTTAGAACGTTACGTCGCTCCACGTCCCCAGCACCCCTGCGTAGTTTCCAAATGATTCACGGTCCACCGTCGCTAACCGGGGAGAACTCTCCACGGAGATTTCAGAGAGAAAATGTTTAATCGATGAGAGGAGAGGCTGTGTTGACCGAACTCGTTGAACTAGTTTCGACGCGTGTAAAAGTCGGTCGAGAGTTCGATTCTCGTACGTTCGTTCGTGCGGCAGCGTGTACGATATTTTCGGGCGGTAATTTCCCGACTGTACAAGCTTTTTCCAGCGACGTTATATATATATAGAATATATTTTTAATGGATCACAAGAGAATAGATCGTAAAAGTGCAAAACCCCGCGGGGGTTTAATTAATATACATTTTAAGGGGTTTTACGGTAACTTAACCATCCATTGAGTCTTCGACCAGTGATATACGCAGCGATTCAGTACCTCATTATTACAGTTCAATCTTATTATTTTTTTCATTTTCTTCTACCTTGTTCGGTATACACAGCGGACGCCAGAGATATAGATTAATATCTTTTGATCAATTATACAATTTCCCGGGACCTCCCCCCGTCCATGTTATTCAAGTTAGCTCGCGATCTTCCTTTTTCGTTCGACTGAAGAGTTTATTCAGCCCCCATATTGTTTTTTCACATTATAATTTACTAGTCGCGCGTCAACGATAATTACATAAATAATAGTTCAGAATGATGAGAAAAAAACCTAATCCTTTGTTTTTTTTTCAATTTCTGCCGTAGGAAGTTTATTTCCTAGACGTCCTGTTCATTTTTCTGACTGGATGACGCGAGGCTTGTGGACTTGAGGTAAACGAAATAAAATCGCGCGGTTTAGATTGCGGTTGCCGCTTAACGGGCCGCGATATCATTTAATGGATTACTCGGTTATTTAATCAATCTCTGCCAGTCCTTTTTGTCCCGATTCGACATCTCTGTCTATCCCCCAACCCCCTAATTCTGTTTTCCATTTTTCTCGTTAGTTTTTCCGTTGTACCTTTTTATTTAAATGTCTTGCCTGTTGTGTACCACTATCCGCGTTTTTACTTTGATCTTCTCGTGACATTTTTTCCGTCATCGGATGTTTACAGTAGAATTATCGAGCACGCGTAAAAATTCACTGTTTGCCACTCGCGGCATCGACACACCGATCATCTCGGCCTTAGGCTCGAACGGTTCCGAGAGACAGACTAGATACTAGTGTTCCCTAATAATTTGGAAAATATGGTGGATTAAGCTCCTGACATATTTTTCTCGTGGTTGGATGGAGAGGGGGGAAAAACATGGTTTTTCGAACGATTTGATGCAATACGAGCCATGCTCAACGACGGACGCTTGTATTTATATGTACGTTAATGGAATGGATCATTGTATCCCTATCGGTCTCGATTCTGGTTGTATTTGTCCGGAAAAATAAAGTCAAGATTAATCGAGATTCGAGAGTTAAAGTCTCGTTCCCACTTGCGCAATGGTTCACTTAGAATTTTATACGTTTGAAAAAAATGCCCTCGGGTTGGATGCTTGATAATACAGTAAATCCTCGATGAGTGTTTGAAGGCTTCTCGGCAATGAACATTAAATATGTCATAAACTAATATCATTGGCTTGAGCATTTCAAGTATTGTTACTGTACGAAAACTCGTTAAATAGTCAGTGTTACACCTGAGGACCTCTCAGTGCCGAGGAGCCTTCGAACACACATCGAGGATCTACTGTACCTGTTTCATTTTTGTCTTAGGCGTGTTCCACGCTGAATATGCGCGCAATTGGGAATACGACCGAAGGGTAAAACGAGCTGCGAAACGTTGACGATGATGCGTGTGTCGTGTCCTACCATCCCCCGTTTCCCGAATGCACCTGCGAAATGTTTTTCCCTCGGTGTACGTGTGTGTATGTGTGTCAGTATATCAGTGCACGTAAGATGCAACTGTTCGTGGCCAGGTTTACGTGATTGTTCGTGATGGAAATACGAGAGAAAAATATGGCTGTTTTGTCGAACATTTCGAAGTGCAAAACAGCGAGACAGTCAGAGTTAATTAAGGTTGAAAGACAGTGTTCACGAGGGCGTGAATCGATCGATAAAACGCGACTGTGTTTTATATATATATATATATTGCTCGTTGTATTGATGATAATTATTTCGTCGATAGTGTTTAATTGTATTGTTAAGGATTAAGAATTGAGGCGCGAATGATCACAATTCCCTCCCCTTGTTTACCTTACGGTATGTACAAATTCGCGATGACGATGAACTGCCGTTGACGGCATCTCGGGTACCGTTTCTGCCATCGCCGATGTTTAGAAAACCATTATTATTGATTAGTGTGTTATCGATAATGATGATAACGTTCATAATATTTTGTTATATATATATATACAAACATATATATATATATATACATATATATACATACACACACACATATTGCGAGGGTAGAATCAGCAAAAATGCATTCTTTTATAGTATAGAAGCAAATGAATATTCCGTATGGATTAATAAAATATTCACATTTTAATAGAACACGCCCGTTTAGGATTGTTCTCCTGTCCCTGACCATCCAATCCGTTCATCCATTGCAGTCGTTCTTCTGGAATCACTGGAATTCGTGGATAGCAGAGGTAAGTTGTTTGCTTTTTATTAAAACTGTAGAAGTAGAAAACTTATTTGATGTTTTTTTGATTTATGTTGTTTCTGGAATTACTTTCTTTTTTCACTTGAGTATTATTGCACATTTTAATTATACGTTTATTTAATTGTACACTTTTTTCTGGATATGTAGATTGTCCTTCTGGAATTGCACAATTATTTTCTTAATACGAAATAATTCTACTCTCTTTCGCACATCGAAAGCCCTGCAAACTTAACACTTACTCCAAGGTATATATTCTACGTTTTCAATGTGGATTCGGAGTTACAGAAATGAACTCTTCGAACTGTACGATCAATTTAAAATAATGAAACGATGTAGGACGGTTTACTTTGTTGCATACGTTGATCGTTCTAATAACACGAAAAAGAGACAAATACTTCAGGGCCTGTCAGACTAATTGCACTTTTCAAAAATATTTACAAACAATCTCGATCTTTAATCTACGTAAAATCTTGAGATTGCAAATTTCTTTACGTCTATACGATTTGAAAGCATTTCGTTGACTCGTCCAACTGGTTTCGTTGATTCGCTGTTTGCGCCTATACAAGTAGATTTCACTACTGTAAAAATGATCGGCAACTATACAGATATGTCACAACGTGAATGTCGCTAGGGTACCAAATTCGATGACGTTAACAATCATTCGTGTTCGAAATTTCGACAAGACCAATAGATCGACACATTTAATTAATGGAACATTTATGACAGCGTTGCTTGTTCGATTTCGTTTTCCCCTCTTTCTCTTGATCCAAATGCTTGTGAACAGACTCTGCAACCACATTTCCATAGAATTATACTTTTAAGAGTGAATGAAACACTTAGAAATCACTTACCAGCAGCAGCCTTTTTGTCGACCGCGATCAAAGCATCGCAGAGCTCCTTTGCTATAGGGATCTCAGGACCCAATCCTGACGCCCAGATCATCAGCATTCGGAATCCGTGCTCCTTGTAGCTCGCTGGACCTATGATAGGAGCTTTATCGTCCTTTTCATAAGGCTGTCCTCGCTTTACGAAGGGAACATCGAGGTGCAAATTGCTTTCCCTTTTTGTTAAATCATTTTCGCAATCATTCAGACGACTTTAACCCTTTAATGCTCAGTGTGACTTATTTGTCACATCTAGATCATATTTTCAAAGGTTGTATGCGTTGTGTGTGTATTGGGACGATGTTTGAGTTAACTAATCGCGAGAGATAATTTTTTATAAATTTTTAAAATAAATAAAGAAAAAGTTAAAGAAAATATGTTGGTTTAATATCGATATTTTTGAGTTGAAAATAACAAGACATACCAGTGTCATAATTTTGAAATAACGATTTCCGGATTTGGGCGTTAAAGGGTTAACTTACTTGTATCTCGATGACTTCTAACGATCTATGGTCAGAAACACAATTGTTTACCGGTGTATTGATGCTCGATCGCTCGAATCTGCTCCTGCGTGAACGCCCAATGAAGAGCCAGCTTCTTCCAGTCTTCAGGGCCCAAATGTTTGTACGCCAATTTCCATAGAACGGATCGAATGTGTTCAGGAAGCCCACAATTGTTACTAGAGATACTTCCACCTCTGGATCCTTCCCTCCATCTTCTTCTGGCAGGTGTCAGGTCTCGAATCTCCTTGTCAGACGTCGAAGCTTCCTAAAACGGAACGTATCTCATTGTTCCATTATACACGGGGGTCCATTTTATGCTTCATGAAGTCCTCCATTCTAATGTTATTAGGGGCCAAGTATAATCGTTGCGTTTTAGTCTTCATGAAGCAATATAATTTCAGTCGACTTTTATGCCCCATTAGCAGTCGGTTTTAGTCACCTACCGGGGCTGGATAGTCGAGCCTGGCGGTTTTAATGATCATGTCGACGATCGCCGTGAAACTGCCCCTCGCCGCGATGTACAACGGTGTTCTGCCGCTCTGCGAACGATCCGTACAACTTTGCGTTAACTTTATTACCGAGTTCGCGTGTCGTTGGTGTCGATGCTTTTACGCCGAATCGACAAATTTCCACGGCGATCCTGCACGCCTCCGCGTGTAAACTTTGCTCGGGTAGCTTTGCCAGGCGTGTTAGCTCGTCGGGTGACCGTGTTAAACCTGGGTGAACATATATGGGACAAAGAGACGCCTACTTTGATTGCGTTTAATCAAGCTGGCGACACATTGTTCCTGGACACCTTCGTTTGGTCTTTGTTCTTTTGGTCTCCTTTTCGAATTCAATAATAGGGTGTTTATTGTCTTCTGGAATATTCATATCGACCTCTTTCCTTTTGCACAAGTTCTGTTAATGAATAGACTACACGGCACTCGACGAACTAACTTTACAGGTCGACGTAAATTGACGTTAATTAAGGTCACCTGTTCTCTTTGCTCGATATTCGCACCTGCTGCAAGCAACAGCTCGCAAATGTCTGTGTGGCCCATCTCCGCGGCGATATGGATCGGCGATTGCAGTCTCTAGAACACGTCACAGAATCGATTTAATTGAAATTTAATCCAAGAATCGAGAATGTTGTTACACGCACCGTGTTCAAACAGTTCAGATCGACCCCTTTGTTGATCAATATTTCCACTGTTTCGACTTCGTTGTTCTGACAGGCCAGGTGTAGGGGTGTGTTCCCGTACTGTGAATCATTTAACAAAGTCTCTATTCGATGCTGTTTACCGATTTACCCTGTCGAGTCAACTGCGTGTACCTTGCACTGTTTGTTGAGAGCAGCACCGTGTTGAATCATCGAGTCTAATATTCCTTTGCAGCCCTGACTGGCGGCGACGTGAAGCGGCGTGAAACCCATCTAGCAAATCACAATTGACGTTATTTTATTTACAAGGGAACTTTGGTACTCTGCGAATTCGAATTTTTGTTTAAAACTCCGCAGGTTTGTAGGAAACCTCAATAAAACCATCGAGTAATTTTTTCCTGATATTCGGTTCTTTAGGGTGAAATCACCCCTTAAGAAGAAATTTTCTGGTGGCAATCGAAAGTTTCCGATTTTTCCGATAAATTTATAGTTATTAAAAATTTGCTGAAATCAACTAAAATCGCGATCCATAGGGCATTAAAGTTCCTTCGTCAGATGTTCAAGGGTCCTATTCGTTTCACTAAAAACCTTCATCCCTTAAGTGATCCTACTTTTCGAAAGAGCTATCACGTGTATTATTTCAATTAGAAAGGAAAGATCATTTACTTGATCGGTGATCTCCGTGTTAGCTCCCGCCCTTAATAATAATTGAGCTATAGCAGTGTCCCTCGTTCTCGTAGCCACGTGAAGGGGTGTGTTCCCGTCGCAATCCACTGCGTCCACGTTCGCTCCCAATGTAATCAAGATCTCAACGGCTGCCATGTTTTCTTGCGCACATGCACAATGTATCGGTGTTTGTTCCTTCTAAAAAATCGTTGTCAAATTTCTTACAATATTATATTAGACACGTTTGTCAGAAAAATTGCTTGCGTTACTACGATTTTTATCTCTGTTGGAGCAAAGATCCGACTGTATATGGGTCAGAAGGATTACAGGGACAAATCGACAAGACGCAAATATTCTGTGACTCCGTGTGGAGAGAAAAGGAGAAAGAGTGAACCGGAAGCAACGCAAAAGGGGCACCCAGAGTTCCATAAAATTTCGTGAAAGGGGCTGCTGTTAGATTCACGCGGCTACAGGGCTTCTTGCGCTCTCTCTCCTTCGGGGATTTCACTTGTCTTCGCGATAAGAAGGCAATATAGCTAATGCTAGAGACCTACTTTCCACCGGTTTATTTGAATCAGGTGGGAAGCAGAGGGTGGACCAGTTTCCGTATAAATTGAAGTTTCTTGCCTTTGCATCCAAAGCAACGCACGGGGGGATATTTGCATCTTCACGGCAATTCGAAACAGATTAATATTTCTTCGAGCATATACGGGACGCAGCCTCAGATATTACTTCTGGTGTTGTCCGACGAAACGGAGATTCTCATTGCAAAAATCATACACAGAGGATACGTGTGTTCTCTCGAAGATTAATTTAGTTCGAAACTTTGGATTGAACGATTCCACGCGTTAGGTAATCTGTTAATTGTATAGGAAGATCTGAAATAGTATAAAGGATGTCCCAAAATAACTTCGACTCCCGGAAATGTGGGGTTCCTGGGAGCCGAAGCTATTTTGTGACATCCTGTATTCTCGTGCAGGTGACAGGAGTTGTCAGGGCTTTATAAATTCAACTATCCTTGGAGACCTTGGTTTCGAGGCTTTCATTATCAAATTCTGACGGTATCGAGCTCCACACAGTTTCACGTTCGTGGTTCCAATCAACCGTTCCACCTTAAGCCATGGAGTTATATATATCACACGTAGCCACGAAAGCACAGCTACCGAACTATATGTATGCTTTGGGCAGTGGTTTCACAGTGGTGGGTCTGCGTCATGGGGAAGTCGATCCTGGATGAATGCTTAGCAGGATGGAGCGGCTTCTTCATGAATAAAGGGGTAGGAAGCGTCCAGAACATGGAGAATAGAAAGGACCGCCACTGTACGCGTGTCTGTGTTATTTCACGTAATTTATGCGGGGGAACGCTTTCTCCGTGAAGTTGTGAATCCTTTGAAACGTTTGCACAGGTACGTTATCGCTGCGCAGCTCCCGGAACGCGTAAAATAAGCTTAATCCTCGTCTAAAAATATTACTTAGCCGGATAAGTGGGGCTTAAACGAATACCTTTCCGTTTCAATTTGCATTTTACATGTATCAGTGAACGGTAGAAAGCACCGAGGGTTTATATGAAATTCTTCTTTTGCATGTACGTAACATTTTAATGAATAATTTCCGTGCAGCTTTCCTGCATATTTTTCTTTAATGGAAATAGAGATCATATTGGGCTTGTCCTACCTTGTCGATGGCATTCAATTCGATTCTGGATATATTTGAGAGAGCTGTTATCACAGTCGGGTGACCAGCACTGGCTGCATGATGAAGTGCAGTCGCGCCGGTGCAGTCGGTTGCATCGCCGTTCAACGATTCCACAGTCTCCGCGAGGTACTCGACGACGTCCACGTTGCTGCCTCGGGCGGCGCACATTAAAAGGGTGTATTGTTTCTGGAGCAAACACAGCCTTGCTTTACGAGTCTCGTGTTCCGAAGAACGTTCACGTTGTTATAAGGTGCGTTCCGGATGGAATGTGAATGAAATTACTGTTTCATCGATGGAATGCAGTGGGGTGTGCTACAACGAATAGTTTTTATAATTACAATCAGAATGCTGGAACGAAAGAATATTGTTATAGCCAGACCTGTTTTTGCAAATACACTGCGTGGCATAACTATTAAAACACCCCAAAGATTTCCAGTTCTTATGGTATTGTAGTTGAAATAAAATGGAACAAAGGCATATCTGAAATTTTCTTGAGAAATAATGTTTCTCCAGAAAAGGATAGATTATATTCCCTAGGAAATAGTAGTTCGATTTTATTTTAATCATAATACATAAGGGATGAAAATTTTAGGGTGGTTTTATTGTTATTCAAGATCTGCTTACTTTGTTTACTATTTTATCAAGTTCCAAAAGAAATAAATATTTCTTCAAAATTTATCGAACTCTTCGTTGAACCGTACCACGCTGTACCATTCCATATTTCTTTTATTGGAGTAATTTTTTAGTAGAAATAATATTTTCGGACGGTAAGCTTGAATGATCACTCAAGGGACTTAGCGAGGAAATTGGAAATTTTGTCGAGATGCGAGCCTTGATGAAGGAAACGTTTTCCCCGGATGAGAACACGTTTGAGGTTCGTTTCTATCGCGGAGAAAGAATCTCAGGAAAGATCGTGACTCGGTTCCATGATTCCGTACCCGTTTGTACTGTAATAGCCTTCGATTCCTTTTCCTATCTCGGATCCTGAACACGAGATTCTCGCGAGAAAGAGAGGTCTGCTAGGTAATACCGTTTTATAGATGAGAGGGGAGGGAATCCAGGGAAAGTTATGAATAATATATTGATTCAATTAGTGAAATACCTTGTTCACAGCCGACACATTTGCTCCGGCGTTGATTAACATCTTCACGGCGTCCCTGTGCCCGTACCAGGCCGCCATGTGCAACGGGCGCATACCAAACTTAAAATATTACAGACACAATTGTAATTAACATCGCATGGTATACGTGTGGAAAGTTTCAGGCACACTTTAATAGAATTTTTGGAAATTAATATAAGTTCGAAGATAGGAAATAATCTAATTTATCAATATTTCCATTAGAGATGACTTGGTACCTAATTTTTAAATTCTTGAAACTCGATTCCGAAACTTTGTAAGATTTCATAACTCTCGAAACTTTTGAAACTTTCGAAACTTGAAGCGCTGCTTTTGTTTTGTAGGAGTAATATTCTGTTTTAAGAACTGAGAAGTCAGCAAAATTGTTTCTTGGATTCTTGGATTTCGAGGGGTTTCGAGGTTTCTATGTTTTGGGAAACCCATCCCTAATTCTAACAATGAATCATCAATTTTCCGTTCCATTGATCCTTCATCTGAATAATTTGATACCAAATGCATCGATAAAATATATTACCTTGTCCCTGGCCTCGATGTCGCATTTCGCCTGTATCAGCATTTCGATGATCTCCGTGTTTCCTCTGGACGCGGCCCAATGGATCGGCGCTCGACCATACTGAACCATCATTTTCAGTTACGAGAAACCGCCGTATTGCGTAAAATAACAGGCCGTCGTATTTATGGGGCGTACCGCGTGGTTTAAAATATGGGAATTTCCAAGGCTCGCCGGGCATTTTCGTTTCGGGTCGGGTCGGTCTTGCGGTCTCGCGAATAACCCACGTTTAATGTTACAACGGCGTGAATTTAATGGGTCGCCGTGGAAGGAACTCGGAGAGAGACACCTTCATTAACATACTTTCGATAAAGAGTCGCGGAGACAATTTCGTCCGTGGCGATGAAAATTTCAATTGAATTATTCCGTCTTGTAGCTGGACAGAAGTCTAGGGACGAGGTAGAATTACGTTTCGGGAAGCTGCCTAAAAGTTTTTAGTGGTATAGCCTCGTTTCAGCCGGACGACGAATGGTAATGCTCCAAAAGATTTTGAAAGTTTTAGCGGCCCCGATGAGCATCCGAGCGAAATATCCCATATTTAGTTGGATAGATGGGTAAGCCTTGTAAGAAAAATTATGATACTCGCAACAGCTGCGATGAGTTTGTAAGTGGAATATCCTAGCTTTAGTCGGGCTGAAAGGAAGGTTAAACAAGATTTTAAGGTTTCAGTGACCGCGATGAAACTCTGAGTGGCGTGTCCTATATTTCGTCAGATGGAAGGCACACCTTTCTAGAATACCATTGTGAACGCGATAAGACTAAACCGCAGATTCAGCGTTCGTTGAGCTAATGATACAACTTAGTAAAATCTTACAACACCGATAACACTGCAAGTAGAACATGTTGTACTTGATCAGACCAGAGATACTAAAATGTTATAGGTGTACCAATTACGATAAGGCTCTGAATGGAATATTCTCTATTCTAGTCGATTAAAGGTATACATTATTGAAGTACCATAGTTTCAACTGCTAGGTTAAATTCTAAGTAGTACAGTTCCTGTTTTATCAGCCTGGAGATAAAAGTTGTTAAAGCATGGTTTACGATCCATGATAAACTTTTACTGGTAGAATGTTCCGTTTTTATCTACACAAAGGCCCGGTTTAGAGTACAATACCGGCGAATCTGTAGCTACACCAGAGCATCCAGTGAAATGTTCCGTTTTTAGTCAGACAAACGTCGCGTTATTTTCGTGGCGCGCCACTGTTGCACCCCTGTCATGTTATCTCGTGTTTCGGAGCGTGTAACACGTTTTGCATGACGTTACCGTTATCGAAGTGGTGCCAAGTGAAAGATTTCATTTCCAACTAGATCATTCCCTGCCCTTACCGCAGGACACTCTAGTCGAAATCACGAAAACCTTGCAACGAAATTTCTCGTGGCTGTCGATGTTTCCACGATTATTTCTAAGGAGTTGTACGATTTTGAACGTCGTAAAGAAATTTATAGGTGGGGGGCTTACTTTGGATTTTTTTTTCTTGTCAAACTTACATTGTTCCTCGAATCGACGTCGACGGTCTCTTTGAGCACTTTGCGAACGGTGTCCGCTTCGTTTTTTATCACAGCCTCGTGTAGCAAGAGATCGTTCTTAAGTACTGTCAAGAAAAGAAACTTTGATAAAGGAAACTATAACATTCACGAAGTAACTCGATTTTTAAATTTAAATCCGAGATTCTCTATGTCGCTGAACAAAATGTTATTGGAAAGAAAGAAAATATACGGATTTCTATATGGAATAAATTTTTCAAGCTCGTATTTATCTAAAAATTCGTTCCATTGGGAGATCTGAATGTTCTTTTTCGTGTCTCGTATTTCGCTCGCATACACACGATGTAGTGGATGTCTTTTGCCACGGCAGACCTGCATTTTACAGAACTTTTCACGCTACCGATTGTCGTGTGTCTCTCAGGAGAACTACCAACTTATATTTCTTTTTGACGCATGGAATGTTAGAAATTGAAAGTGAGAAGGTCTTGAAGTTGACAAAAATTGTGGTACAACCTATTCAACCAATTTTAAACCCTTCTTCGCACGATACTATACTGTATATCAATTTTCACGCGGTAGAATATTGTTTGTCGCGTCTATTGTACCTACTTACTTCTAGCAGTCTTTTGAGTCAACACCTCCCCCTTGATCGCCTCGTTGATATTCACGGGCGAGGGTGTCTTCTCGATTTCCCCATTGTCCACCATCGTTCTCGTTCCCTACGCCCGTCTCGTTCGCATGTTTCGTTGGCTCCACGCGTATTTATCAGACCTGAAAGTCGTACCATTGACGAAAATTGTGTACGGTTCGCGGTCGGTTAACTTTCTGCTCTAAATTGAGCTGCCTGTTGACCCGGATACGGGGAGACTATTTCATGGAATTCGTCGAGTGGGGGGTACTGGTAATTACGAATGTACAGGTGCTACCAAAAATACCACTACTCCAGATTAACTGGGAAGAAACAAAAAATATTTTGTACAAAAGTTTTAGGGGTTAGAAAGAGGCATCTGATGGTGACCTTGATCATGACATAAGGGTTAAATTTAGAAGTCATTTCCATTTTTAGTACCTGATTTGACCTTCAAATGATCCCTAAAACTTCGTCCTTTCCAGTTAATCTGGGGCACTTATCTTTTTGGTACACCCTGCACAATATCAACTGAAACTTCTCGTCTCACAGCAATTACACGTTAACAAAATACGCAGTGTACGAAGATAAAAACGTGTATTCCACCGTTTCCATTGACTTTTCAAAAGTCAATTACAAGTGAATTATTTAATTGCTGCCGAAACACGGGGCGTGTATAAATGATCCGTTAATTCGTAACCGTTTTCATCGTTATTATTGATTTTCCCTGGTTTTTGACTAGTTCTTGATGGATGTTCAATAATCCCCATGCATTTTACCATTCTGGAATCACACGTCGCATCATCCATAGAGGTCGTGTTCCGCCTGAAAATTACCCCGCTCCATAAATGAAATAATTATAACGCATACTTGCGGTGCCCCGTGCGTACAACGTTACGAGACACGCAAGCTTTACATCCGCCAATTTACACGGATATACACCTTCGGTCCCTGGCTGTGCTGGAATTAACGTTGTTACATCATGAGCTACAATATGTAATTTACGAGCCGTGTCAAAGTGTCTTTGAGAGATTGTTACACTGTTCATTCTGGTGGCGATTTCCACAAATATTTTCTTGGAAACTAAGGTTGATCCAAGTCTCTGTAATAATTGATTTACCGTAATACGAAAGAAGTTAAAGTGGCGCCGTCTAGAATCGATTTTTTAATTTTTTGTTGGTAGACACGACTCGTTCTGACGTGAAAACCATCTAGCTTAATTGGATCGTTTAAAATTGTCTTCGGAGACGTAATTGACGACGGGGATTCGTTCCCCCGACGTTTTATTTATCACGAGCAATAGACGAAAATTTAAAATTATGATCCCCAAGAAACTGCCCTGGCGTATCAAGATGTACAGGACTCGTTAAGCCGGACGGAAACATAAATTCCGGGACAGTAGGTGACGTTACAACGTGATAAAGAAGCTTTTGTTTCGAACGGATGCTCTCTTCACAGGCATTACGCAAATGAGTCTCGCGAGGTTCACTATCAAGCAACGGGTGATATTTTCCTCGGATACGATTGTCGAGTTTGTAAAATATAATCCACGGTATAAGGAAACTACGAAAGGGAAAAAGTATCGTCCGTGGAAACGGTAAAGGCAGCTCTTTGAAAATGTATAAATATGAAACATTCCCTCGCAGCTGAACACGAGATTCATTCGTTCTTTTTCTGATTTCACAGAAAAGTGTATCGGAGTATTTCACAATAAAAGCAACGTGGCGGAAAACGCGTGCGTCAAAAGCTCAACATGGTTTTTCCACGCGGCGAAATTTTCCGTAACGTTTCATTAATTAATGAAGCAGACACTCGTGAACCTCAATTACGGTCGGACGATCAACGAAACGAATTAACGAAACAGTTGTTTGTGTTACAATATGAATATGTAACAAGTAAAATCCGACACGAGAACAATTCATTCGTTCAAATTTCACGCGGGGCTGGAAAAGTTTTAATAAGGAGCTTTCCATTTCTGCCGTTTTTCACTCTTAATATTTTTACAATTTAATTCATTAGGGAGTAACCATTTACGATTCCAGCCACGTGAACAGCGAGATGAGATAAAAAAAAATCTTCAAGGTAATAAGAGCGGAACAGACGGCTTTTCCAGGAATTCGTTGGATGCGAGGAGTTGGATTGCTTCAGAATGGGCTCTCATTATCGTTTCCGTGAACTTTTCGCCTTTATCACCGCGTGATTCTCCTCCAAAACGATCAACTGTTTCAGAAACTTTTTTTTACGAGTACACCTGACCGTTTTGTTGGTAGACGATAGTGAATACAGAAGATAGGAGTTTGTTCTTCGGTGATATTGGAGTCTGCTCATTAAGGTTACTTAGTTGTCCCTATGAAGGTGTAACTGTAACGAGGTACTGGGTTGAAATTCTTGTCTCGAGACAGTCGCTGTCCGAACCACAGCTGAATCGAATTCTAGCGAACGTGACGTCGTGCCCATTGCGACCATAGATTACATTTACAGCTGACATTGTCGAAATTCAGTTGAACACTGGTTGTGTATCTCACTGGCATGAGTGTAGGATCTAACAAGGGAAACTACTGAAACCGCACCCATCGATTTCAATGAAATTTCTATGGGAGATAGTCGTCCGACAAATATTGGATACGTATTATTATTTACCGGTCATCGTACACATTAAGGGGGTGATAACAGCCCTCAAAATTGAGGGATGAAAATATATTTTTTGGAATATTTCTGAAACTAGGAGTAAGAAAAAGTCGTTTGTTTGAAAATTGTGTGTTTTTGAATGGGGAATTTAGCCACATCAGAATATTAAACAAAAAATTTTAATTTTTAATATTTTATTTAAGGAAATAATTCTTTCTTAGGGTCTCTTATGCAATCAAATTCACCATTCGAAAACACACAATTTTCAAACAAAAAACTTTTTCCTACTCCCTCTAGTTTCCGAGATATTCCAAAGAATATATTTTCATCCCTCAATTTTGGGGGCTGTTATCACCCCCTTAACATGGACGATGGCGAATACATAAAAATACGTATGGAATATTTTTTGGAGAACTGTCTCCCACATAAGTTTCATTAGAATCGGTGTGAGTTCGGTATTTTCCCTTGTAAGTAGAATGTACCGTGACCAGTCAGACACGGGTCAGGATCAGTATAGCGAAAGTTTTGAATTCTTATGCAGTAGGATAAAATTATCTTTCAAGTTTCATTAATTGATAATTGTAAAGATGAAATTTATAAAATAATTGACTTGTGGACCAAAAACTTGTCATTAAATGGAAGATGTAATTAAATAAGTGTTGAATATGTTGTAATCATATTAGACAAGGGTTTATGTCAATAAACAACGTAATGAGTTAAACAATGGTCAGACCTATCGATTGGTTTGGACACGCGATTATTCTTACACATCGAACGTGAAAGAGACCGAACCTCGTGGAGCCTTCGATTGACCTACAAATAGCTGAAATGGAACGTTGGGAACATTTCGTATCGACAGGCTAATCCGCGGAATTGACGCATATTTTTTTTTTTAACTTCACTGTTGATCCACTCCATTAACGTCTCACGCAGCTGCACGTGTCGTGGCATAATGTTGGATTGTCCTTGTCTAAATGTTTGAGGCGAAGAAAAAATTCTGGTGACCAGTTTTGAAAGCTGATATTGTATAGAAAGATAACAATCTAATGCAATATCCATATGGCATTAATTAATCTTTCTCCAGAACAGAATAGGTTATATACCCTAGAAAAAAGTGGTTCGCTTTTATTTTAACCACAATATATAAGGATTGAAAATTGTAGGATGGTTTTATAGGTATGCCACGTACTGTATTTCGTTGAGCGAGCTTTCAGCTACCTCTGAATTTTTGTTAATATGAAGACGGAATATCCCGTATCGTTTTAATTAATAATGATAATGTTTTTACACCAAAAATATCATGGAAAATGTGTCATTCTGTACTCGTTAATTAACAGAATAACGCAATTTCATAATGGTTTTCGATTCTCCACGGTATCCTGAATGGTCTGATCGGTCATGTCTGTTTCTACTTCACGCACCGATGAGCTCCACAGCGGTGATCGCTGAAGCGTGTCGGTTCCGTGATTTCCATACGTGTTCGCGAAATTAATTTTCCCCGGTGCGTTTGTCTGCGCGCAATAAGTGGCAGGTTTAATTCACTCACCTCGAGGAGGAGGCTCGTGAGAATGGGTTTCACGCGTGGCTGAACACCTATCGTTGACATGCACCAATTAATTCGGTTAGATTCTAGAGTGACGCACGAGACATCATTCGTTCTTGAATAAATTCATATCAGGGTCGAATCGATCTCACGATCATCAGAGATCACATTCTACAGGATGGACCACGAAACGTGATCAGCTTAGATTATTCTACTGCTACCTGTCCGATCGAAAATTTGTTTGCCAAGTGTAACATGATTTAAGGAGAGCTTTAAAATTGTTGTACAAAATTTTTTGGCAACCTTTTTTTCTAGAGTTTTCAAGGTACCTTTCAGTTTTTGTATAGATAAACATTTTTGCAAGCAAAATTTCGATCGAACAGTTAGCTGTAGAAAAACCTTGTTTGTTGGAGTTCGTGTATATTGGCAGTCCATATGCAAGTCCATGCATATTGGATTTTTTTTTCAATTTCCCGTTGCACGCAGGGAATACAAAAAATACACAGTAATTGAACAAACATTGTTGATATGAACTGTATTATTTGTCGCCTGAAAGTCTCGCAGTTTTTCCAACGGATCAATGAAACGGTGTAAATAGAGAGGGGCGAACGTTTGCCACGCGATTCCACGGCGAGAAGTCAAGTAATTAGCGGTAACCGTCCAACCCCCTGTTTGCTTTTCCCTTTCTGTCGTTGCCGCCACCAGCAAAACGCTCGTGTCAAGAAAAATGGCGGGAAACAGGGGTTTAGGGGGGGGGGATGAATAATAATCGTGGGACGATGTCGCCTTCGTTCAAACGACGCGTACACAATCGCCTTCCCCTGGTAGCTTTTGTGCTAAAAATAAAAGACTCGGAACATTGTACCGCGTCAATGGTAATCTCTTGCTGTTCCTCGATCATCGGACCA